TAGTAAGTAAAAACCTCTATAACTCAAATTATTTAACGTTTCCCTTAGTCTTTATCTTATCGAGGTTCTACTGTATTACGATTACATTCCACATTTTACTTCTTACCGTTTTATGCTAAAGTCTAAAAATATTTTTATGGCGTTTTGGAAAACACGATCTTGATCGATCATCTGTGGAGTGACTAGGCTCCTAGGGTATTATAGATGACCCACGTTGAACTGTCCCACCAAACTCAATGACAGGGGGGCGCTACCATCGTTCAACTATATGGTTTCCAACATGGCAAAAATCGGAACCAGTATATTAGTGTGTTTGATCGCCTCAGAATGCCTCAAAAGTTGCTTGATTTTTGTAAAAATCCTTGATTTTACTTCGTTTTTGATGTTCGATTAATTTTATAGTACTAGGAGAACATAATTCAGCAGGAGAATTATTTATTCACCTTTATGTCAAATATTTATAGGACTACCCCCATAAACATGCGGACTGAGAGAGACGGGTAATAAGATCATAACCCGTCTTGCTCTTTTTCTTATAGTGATATACCCTCATAAATATTGCGGAGGAATGAGATGGCATATAAATATTATACATGTCTCTATCTAACATATACTACTGTCACATCTACACAGACCGTCTTTGTATGATATCCTGGTACTTTGAGCGGACATTCAACTATTGTTATCTCTTTTTTCTTCGTGAAATTTGTATATTTTTATCCCATTCTAGGCCTATCCCATGTGAGGGAATGAGATAAACACAGGAGGACAAATAGTGTTACATACTTACGTCCTTTAATCACATTTACAAACGACAATTACCCCCTTTTATTTATGTGCTCCTGGTACTTTGAGTAGAATTTGGTTATCTTTTATGACGTCGCATGGCCCAAATTTAGACTCTTATTTGTGTCGGAACTTCTAGTTTAACCAGTTTTGACAGAAACTGCAGGCAACGATTTATACAGTTGTTTATTCATTGGAATAATCTTAACTATGACATTCCACATTTTCCTTCGTACTGTTTTATGCTAAAGTAATTACATACCTGAAAATATTTTTATGGTGTTGTGGAAAATTCGATCTTGATCGATCGATAATAATTACCTGTGGAGTGGCTTTGTAGTGTGTTTTGATCGCCTCATATGCCTCAAAAGTTGCTTGATTTTCTTCGTTTTTGGTGTTCGATTATTTCTATGGTACTAGGAGAACATAATTCAGCAGGAGAATTATTTATTCACCTTTATGTCAAATATTTATATGACTACCCCCATAAACATGCGGACCGAAAGAGATGGGTAATAAGATCATAACCCGTCTTGCTCTTTTTCTTATAGTGATATACCCTCATAAATATTGCGGAGGAATGAGACGGCATATAAATATTATACATGTCTTTATCTAACATATACCTACTACTGTCACACCTACACAGACCGTCTTTGTATGTTGTCCTGGTACTTTGAGCGGACATTCAACTATTGTTATCTCTTTTTTCTTAGTGACATTTGTGTATTTTTATCCCATTCTGGGCCTATCCCATGTGAGGGAATGAGATAAACATAGGAGGACAAACAGTGTTACATACTTACGTCCTTTACTAAGTAATTGTCACATTTACAAACGACAATTACCTCATTATATTTATGTGCTCCTGGTACTTTGAGTAGAATTTGGTTGTCTTTTATGACGTCACATGGCCGTAAGTGTGGACTCAAATTTGTATAGTAGTCCAGTAGAATTAGCTTTTAAATCGGAAATAATTCCTACAAAAGATTTTATTGTTTTAATGGTTTCATTGGTTGCCCATTAAGACTCTCCTAAGTTTTCGACTTCGACGGAGTTGTGCTTAAGTGGCGGGGACCCCCGAAAGCGGCGTTTTTTCGTTTTTCCGGTTATACCGCGTAAAGGACTTATCCTATCAAAAAGTGGTCTTCATGACGGTTGAAGGGCACTTAATCCTGCATTGAATAAGACCAAATTCATATGTTTTGGACAAACCGTTCTCGCGCTAAAGTTCGGCAAAGTAGAAAATATACGTATAATTAATGACCCTCTCCACGTCCAATGGTTTGTTACCCACAGGCTTCCAAGTCTTGAAAAGGGCCACCTCAACCAGTGTAACCCTATCAAGGCTTACGAGCTTGATGCGCCTATCCTTGTTCGTCCCAGCCGTTCCTTAACTGCGGTTGCTGCACCTCTTCCTGGCACTCACCTGAACGACTCTGTGTTACCTACTGTGGCTGCCCCTCTTCCTTGTATCCTCCTGCATGACTACGTTGCCTAGCCGTATGCCTGGTCTAAGGTTCGACGCCAAAAATCAACAACAACAAGTTCATATTAAAACGCTGAAGAGTTTTTTGTTTGTTTGTTTGAACGCGCTAATCTTAAGAATTACTAGTTTGATTGAAATCATTATTTTTGTGTTGAATAGCTCATACATTGAGGAAGGCTATAGGATATATACAATCACTCTACGACTAATAGAGGCGAAGCAGTAAAGAAAAATGTTGCAAGCACGGAAAATAGTATTTAAACTATTTTCACGCGTACAAAGTTGATTTTGTGGCGTCGAACCTTGGACCAGGCATATAGCTAAGCAATGCAATCGTACAGGAGGGTACAAGGAAGAGAGGCAGCCACATTAGGTAACACAGAGTCGTTCAGGAGAGTGTCAGGAAGAGGTGCAGCAACCGCAGTTAAGGAACGGCTGGGACGAACAAGGATAAGCGAATCAAACTCGTGAGCCTTGTTAGGGTTACACTGGTTAAGGCGACCCTTTACAAGGCTTGGAAGCATGTGGGTAACAAGCTATTGGACGTGGAGAGGGTCATTAATTATACGTATATTTTCTACTTTGCCGAACTTTAGCGCGAGAACGGTTTGTCCAAAACATATGAATTTGGTCTTATTCAATGCAGGATTAAGTGCCCTTTAACCGTCATGAAGACCACTTTTCGATAGGGTAAGTCCTTTACGCGGTATAACCGGAAAACCGAAAAAACGCCGCTTTCGGGGGCCCCCACCACTTAAGCACAACTCCGTCGAAGTCGAAAACTTATGAGAGTCTTAATGGGCAACCAATGAAGCCATTAAAGCAAAAAAATATTTTGTTGGAATTATTTCCGATTTAATCAATTTTTGTGTTTAATTCTACTGGCCTATAGAGGGACTACGAGTTTAACAGAAACTGCAAATAATGATTTATACAGTTGTTTATTCATCGGAATAATCTTAAATATTACGATGACGTTCCATATTACTTAATTTCGTTTAATTTGTTTATTTCAATAAATATATTACAACTCTATATTAATTAAGTACAAGAGTACGCGGTACACGCAAATGTAAGTACTCAGTATCGTGTTATAGGTAACATTTACAAGACATCGCCGGTTTCAGAACCAAAATCTAGTAAGTTGTTACAGCAACACAGAGCTTAATTCAAGTTTTTCCTATTATCGTGGATAAAAAGTAGGCACAGTACTTACTACGATGTAAATCAATAAATTAGTTCTCAGGAAAAATAACACAATAGGATTTTAAAACTTACAATTATTATTCGTTCTGTGTGTTTTCTAATATGAATCAAACAATTTACTGTGAACGCATAAAAAAATTAACGTTTTCTGATATTCTTCTCAGATCTTACTAGAATTTTAGTTCTGAACCCGACTTTTAATAGGTATAGCTATCAAATATATTGTAACTATTAATAATTTTCAACGGTGCATTGCTATTTTTGTGGGGTATTATACTACTATTATTTCTTTAAACAAATAAAGATTTATAACGATTTTTTATGAATATCGCAATAAAATGTAGAGAGGACAATAGATATTTTTCGGAAAAGTTCAATTAATAATAAAATAAACAGAGATAAGTAGACATAAGAAACAAATTTTTACACATTGACTATTTATAAGTAATACGCACTACTTCGCACTACAAGTTTCAATACTGCGTAACAAAATACATCCTTTAAATAAGTCTTTAGCGGAATGTTTTCGATGTATTCGTTCGATTTAGCTGAAATGGGAATGCATGAGCTTTGAAGCTTATATTGATACACAATATTTCGTAATTTATATTATAAAATGCTTGCAATAGTTATTATGTTGTGAAAAGGTTGACAAACACTTTAAATTAAGCACGGTTAATGTATATGTCAACGTGAAATTGTGAACTCTGTCAGTTTATAATATAACGCGTGAGATTGTAAACTAACAGTGGGTTAGGTTAGGTTAGATTGTAATCTAACTACGTCAGATTATAATCTGACGTAATTCACAATATTACGGTGACATAATATACGACATTATTGTTGTTGACAGTAGATGTTAGTAAGTAACATGAATTTTCAGAAAATGAAATATTGCAAAATATCTTTTATAATAATAGACTATAAATAAATCTATAATAAATAAGTGACAGTTACAAAGACAAATTACAAAAATAATATTAAAGCACTTTTAAGCAACCATCAATGGATTTAGATCAAACTTAAAACTGTTTAGTGTTTGTCGACCTATTCTTTACACTTTGATAAGTCTCTACTTCATAAATTTTTCACTAAAAGATCTTAAATAAAGTAAGAATAGAATATACAATTTGATAAAAAATAATTACAACTTTATGATTGTAGATAATTTATATAAACAGCTTAAGTTTTTATAGGCGAAAGTATAAATACAAGTCGAAACGGCGATTCATAAATTCAAATTTCGTTGTGAACAATATTCGATAGAGCGACTTCATATTTCAGAACTCAGTTCCAAACGTATTAAGATTTCAGGCCTCCAATTAAATTTAGTGCCAATTTACACAGCTAATCGATTTACACTTACGTACTTAGGCTACACTCGCGAGCGGGCGGGGATTTATACAGCGCTAACACATACACAGATAAATACTTAAACGAAGGTATTGCACGAAAAAACGGGATTTAAATACGCTTAGGGCTAGAATGTACATTAATTACACTCGTGAGAGTTCAGGCGTCAGTACAGGTGCGCGTGCGCGGGGTGCGGGCCCGCGTGGGCCGCGTGGGGCCCGTGGGACCCGTGGGGCGCGTGGGGCCCGTGGGGCACGTGCGGCGCGTGCGGGGGCCCCAGCGGCGCGCGCGGCGAGCGCGGCGGCGACAGCGGCGGCGGCTCCGTGCCCACGTCGATGTCGGCGGGCCCGTCGTCGTCCACGGAGCCGCTCACCGACGTGCGGGTCAGGCCTCGGACCTGGAAGCCGATGAAGGTGAGGTCATTCATGTGTCATGACTTGTGACAGCATCCACAGCATTTGGGAAAAGACTGACTAATAAAACTATGAGACATTGGTGAAAACACTACCGTATCCAATCCACTACTTAAAATCTCTTGCAAAAGTTCCAAAAATAAAATGGTTGTATATTTTTTTCAACGTCCACCCACAAGATGGACCGACGACTTGATAAAGGTATCAGGAAGGCGCTGCAGGCCGCTACAACCGTGTGATGTGGAAGTTATTGGGGGAGGCGTATGTTCAGCAGTGGACTGTGGCTGAAGTGATAATACTCGTAAAATTACATGATGGTAAGTTAGCAACTAGGTGAATTAAGTTCATTCATTTTGTTTAAATATTTGTTTTCAGCAAAGAAAAGTGAAGTTATTACCTGTAGTAGCAAATTGTTCGACAGTATCCTGGCCTGGTGCTCCTGCGCTTTGGCTCGCAAGCACGCGATGCTGTTGTTGCGGAAGGCCTCGGGGTCTTCGTACATCTCGCGACCGCCTTCAGGCGACGCGCGGCCTTTGGCTGATGAGGACGCCGTCGTACTGCTGCCAGGAGAGCTTTGCGCCTGTGGAAATGAAAGAGCAATATTGCAATAGATCGTTTGACGCCTACAAAAGTTTTTATGGCAATGTTGTTTGGGATTAATTGCATTGACTTTGTTAGAAGTGAACACATTCAAGTAATCTAATCTACAGTGTAGACTGTAGAAGTATTTTGAGAGAGTGAAACATTCGAGAAAAATGATACAAAAAGTTATTTTCTCAGCGAATAGTAACGCCTTTTTTGGTTTGGTTTTAATATAAAAGGAGAAACTGACTGACTCACTGACATATCAACGCACAGCCTAAACGGCTAAACGTAGGCACTTGAAATTTGGAAGGGACGTAGCTTAGGTACCGTAGAAGTACACTAAGAAAGGAATTCCCGAAATTCCCACGGGAACGGGAATTAGCGGGAAAATCCTTTTGTATGAAAAACTAAACCACTTAAGTTAGACGCTTGAAAGGCATGCAGGTACCTTAGTAAACTTAAAGCTTAGTTACAACAGGATATTGAAAAATTCCCACGGGAACGGGAGTTAGCGGGAAAAAACATTTGTATGAAAAAATCTAAGCCGCTTAAGATAGATGAAGGGGATAAAACGCGATCCACGCGTACGAAGTCGCGGGCGGCCGCTAGTTTTATTAATAAAGATCACCAAAAAAAGGAAGGAAAGTGGATTCACACATAAAATGCCTAAAACGGCGGACTTGATACGGTGCTGAGTGATCAGTTTTCGCCCTTTCGTCAGTGTCTCCTATAATTTACTACTTCTTTTTCCTTCCAACTTTTAGGTTTTACTCATCTCTACTTTTTTTAGACATGTAAAAAAGATACCTACTATTTTCCAATTCGATTGAGATATAGCAATAATCCATCATCAAGATATCAGCTACAGGACAAAGGCCTCCCTCAATTATTTCCAGATTAGCCGGCGGGAAACAGCTTTGAGTTGCTTCGAGACAAATCAGATGGCTCATGGCGTGCATGAGCTTAGAGCTACCACGGCGAGGCTCGTACCTGGTTATCATGGCGTGCATGAGCTACCATCACGAGGTGGGTGTCGTACCTGGTTGTCGTGCACGTCGTGGTGGGTCGGCGAGGCGGAGGCGGCGCGGTCGGGCTCCGCCTCCGAACCCTCGCGCTCAGACCCCGATTCCTTCAGGTGCTGCGCCGCCTCCAGCGACTTGCGGTGCATGCCTGCAACGACAAACACAATAGTTATATTGGGAAATAAAAACCAAGCAACAAGAATTATTCAAGTCAGGATCATGGCATTTAGAGTTTCTTTTTAGGGGGCCTGGCCCCTGACATGCGATTAGTATCATTGCTTATGAGTCAGTACTATCAACCATCACCTTCAAATATGATCAGAATCTTTGCCTTTCTCTACTTAAATGCTATCATACACAATAAGCTCTGGTTTTTTAAAACAAGGCAAACACGCATACATGGAAATGAATTATAACTAGAAAATTTAGGAACCAAAAGTTAAGATACTTAGAGACAACTTATAGAAATGTTAACTTTTCTTTTGACGCATCTGTTAGTTGTAGATCCTATAAGATATAACTTAATTAAGGCCCGCCATACACGGACAGCTTGAAGCAGCTAGTATCCGATAGCTTTAAGCTGCGACTGCATAGCAAACTACAGTACACTACGTACACACATACACGGAACCGCTCGAGCAGTTACAACTGTTTCCGTAGTTTGCTATGCAGTCGCAGCTTGAAGCTGCCGACACTAACTGCCCCAAGCTGTCCGTGTATAGCAGCCCTAAGTAACTTACAAAGTTCAGAAAGTTTCCTTATCAATTCCATAGAGATTTGAGTACAAGGAATGTTTTAAGCCAATGTATTATTTCCCTGTGGAAATTAATATCACCCCAACAGACCATGATTCACAATTGAAGCTCTTGCATTACAGTGATGTAGGTTCCTACATCGCATTGTATTATTAATGCGAAGCAGCACGAGGCAGTGACGCGCCGAGATCGTAAAAGTGCCGATGCGTGCATCTCACATCTCATCACTGCATTCGTTGCAGCAGGGGTGACAAGGCTCATCTAGAATGTTTGATAAAGCTGACTGAGTTTCTTCCGCCACTTCTTCTCAGAACTAGCCCATATGTTGTCCCGAAGTGGTGGTAGGGCAAGCTTTATTTGGGACATGTATAACTGTATAAGTGCCCTGGAAAGGGCCTATGTACTGAATAAACTATTTGAATTAATTACTTAAGAATTAATTCAGCAAAATATACCTTTATGTTTATTATACTTAATACTTGCTATGCCCTTACATGGTGCATGTGTTTGTGATGCTACCCTACCATTTACCAACTGTCAAACCACACATGTAATGCAATAAATGATTTGATGCATAAAAAAAAATGATTTGAATTTTTTGTATGCAGGACAAGGCAGGTATTTGACCGCGGTCGTACCTGGTGTTAAGTATTTTGAATCTGAAATCTGGCGATAAGAATATCATCATAATCTGGGCTTTGTCTTTGTGATTTCTTACCGTACCGTTGAACTTGAGTATGCTGTCGTAAGGTGAGCAGAGTGTTTTTAAAGGCCCAAAAAATGGTAAAGAATAATTTATAGACAGCTAGATATTTCACCGTAACCTTGATATAAAGTATAAAAAGTATGTAAGCAACTAAATGCCTATTAAACGCTTTTGAAGATTAAGTCATGTTCTACGAAAATACTTACATCCTAATTATCAAGCATGTCAAGCAGCATGGTTTAGGTTCATGAATAAAAAACCTGGGTTGGGTATCCATCTAATAGTAAGTAAATCTATTTGCATCTTTGGTCAGCCCTGGCATGGCAGTGCACTTGCAGCGGAATCTGGCTCCGGCTACATTACGAGTGGCGGCTGGCGGGATGGATGGTGGTGCCGTGCGTGCATCCAGAACAAGAATATTAACCATGATCTCAGGGCAAGCGTGACTTAAGTAGACAAATTAATTGCCAAGCATGGACCTATAAAAAAAGGCGGACGGAACTCGCGCTACAACAAAACTGTGACTCAAAATTTTGGCGTTTGTCTATTGTGTGAGTGAATTTAGGGATGCCATGTTAGCCAAAACATTTTACCCATTTATTTTAAGAAAAACATAGATAGGCAGATGTTACTTGGAAATGTAGACAGAATTATTCCGTGCCATTTTAAAAGGATGAAAGGTGAATGCGTTGAGGTAGGCGCGAAATTTTCAATGTTCAAATTTTCTTACATTGTTTGCAAGTCAGTGTGTCAGGGTATGTACATAATGTTGATCAAAAATGATTCACGCAGTTACAAATTACGAATCTTGTGTACATTATAATCATAATCTTATGCATCATCAATATATTATTATTATCTCTGATAGATTTTTTTTAACATACAACCTGACACTGACTTGCAATCAATGTAAGAAAATTTGAATTTTGCAGTTCCACATTTTTGGGAAGGATCAAATTTGCCTATGAAAATATATCCCATTAAAACACAATTATTATGATAAATTATTTTATTTTCATAGTATGCGTAATAAATAAAAAAAGTCCTAAAATTATTATTAATTTCCCATATTTCGGGTAATTTTCCCACGTAAATAACTGAGAACACTGGTCTTTGACGTATTATTTTTTCGAGTGAATGACGTTTGATTTCAATTAATTTCAATATTTTAATGTCGGGAAATAAGTGATTGGATTATTATTTTTCCTGTGAAATGTGATTCCTTAATTTTTGTTTGTTCGAACAGAACGGTTTTTACACAATTTCATCACACAAGACATGTCGTATTCGTGTTGTTTTTTCGCTGCTTAAATGTGTCAACTGTGTGAAGTTTGCACTCGAAGTGATGTATCAGGGTGTGAATGTGTGCGTGCCGGCCTGTACGTACAGGCAAGCTGGTGTATCCTAATGTCACAGTATTTTGTTGATGAGAATCCGTCCGACTTTTTTTATAGGTCCATGTTGCCAAGATGCTCTTAGAATGCTCAATTACGAAAAATACAACAATACAACAACTGAGTAACTATTATATTTCTTGATTAACGAAGCTCACCAGGTACACCGCACTCTATTTTTATGTTGGACATGAGTCACACTGCATAAATAAGTCCACCTTTTGTAAAGTTCTTCAACATAGTGATCAAAAGATTCAAATAAAATAAGAACTTCCAAGTGTGTTGTCGTCATTTGCTACCTATTAATAATAGGTAACAATGTTAATTAATCAATTTAAATGTTGAAAACTGCACTTGACTATTGTTGTACTTATCACAATCGAAAATACAATATTATGGCAAATAAGTGAATACCATTTCTTATCAAAACGAATCTGAATCTAACTTTGGAACCTCGTCTTTTCACTGAAAAAGCTTACAAACAATTATATCCATTTCTTGTTTCATGCTACTAGCACGGAATACTAACTAACTACTAGGTTATTAACAGATTCATAAAAGAAAACCGGCAACTGCAATAAACGTAACCAACTATTCCGTTGCAAACACTTATTTACAAAAGTTGAATGGCAAAGAACATTTAATAAATGTAATGAAACATTAATTTCTGAATCATTTAGGTACTTCAAAAGTAACTTTTAATTCTCGATGTTTGATTGGATGGGAGCAATCATCATTTCGAAGTATAAGAACCATCAGTTTTTACAACAATGTGCGGAGTTTGATGCTTATTCGAGTATTATAGGTACATGTTAGTATTAATTAATTTAATTAAAACGGGTTAATCCACTGTCTAAGTAGCTCAGTTGGAAGAGCAGTCGCCCGGCAAGCGAAAGATCGTGGGTTCAATTCCCGCCTTAGGCAGTTCGATTTTATCAAGTTTTTTATTTAAAAATTAGGACTTTACATATAAAACATTCCAAAGTAGACGATTGCCTACTTTGCCTAAATTTGCGCTCGCCGCAGCATCTCTACATTTTCAATTGTGTGTACAAGCGAACGTTGAATTAATTCCTCGCCTCTTGTTCGTGGCAGCGGCTGCTGCTGTCAAAGCGCTTTAATATCTGCGTGTATTTTTACGGGGTTTTTACTGCAGCCTCGGCATGCATCTCTAATCAGCCTGCGTTATTAAAATTTATCGCGGTCCTAGGGCTGCGGAAGGGGCTCTAGTTTCGAGAATGTCACCCCTGTGGAATTTGTGCTCTACATTATGCATGCGTTTTGGCATGATTTAAGCAGTTTTTACATATCGTACTGGTTTTTTTATTACCTCGATACAATTTTGTAGTACTCGTTGTATCAGTGTAGTGGTTAAATATTGCAGAATAACACGAACAAACAACAGGAGAGTCATCAATCACACGTAAAACATGACGTTCAAGAGGTCCACATGAAATTGATTAACCGTAGGTATTGCTGGCTTATATTGACTCCCAAGATGATTGCTTTTAAGAGATCTATTAAACTATTTGTGCTGGTTTTATCGTGTAATATTTAGATTGAAAAATTGATGCAATTTTTAAACCACCTACTCGTAAATTGTCACGTTTTTGTTAATCCAATGGCTATTTTCAGTTTAATCGCAAGGTGATTTAATAACCAGTTCTGTACCTACCCTATTTCCTCATGACTTCCAGAATTAGTAGCCCTACGGAGCCGCTGGGAGGTGGCATCCCTCACAGCCGTTAAATATTCAGCGCGCGCGCAAACGTTTCGTCTTCGGATTCCCGCGCATTGACGCGCACTGTTTCGGCCGAACTAGGCTTTATTAGAGGCCTCTATGAATTTCTAGTGCCACTTGCCGCTCCACTTACTTATTTGGGACAATCGGCGTTATTTGGTTCCGTAATTTGATGATGTGTCTCTTGGCGATATCAAGACTTTTTAGATTTGCCTGAACCTGAAAGTAACCTATTTATTTTGAGAGGATATAAAATCTTAGCCACTTGATTTTAGCAATTAGGTGGACCGATGATCTAGTAAAGGTAGCGAGTAGAGCCTAAGATGCGGGCAGCGCAGGACCGTTCATTGTGGAAAACCTTGGGGGAGGCCTTTGTCCAGCAGAGGACGTCATTTCAAATCTGCCAAGGGGAGGTTTTCTCTAACAAAACTTTGCGATATGCCCAGTAGGTAAACGCGAATTAGTCCGGCTTCCATAATGACCACTGGTGGCCAACTCCGTCCATAAGTAACAAGAGGATCAGCGATCAGGTCGTTAGCATCAGACTATTAG